AGTGCGCGATGTAAGAAAAGTTATGATTAAAAGTATAGATAATTTTTAACTTGCCCTCGTATATAGGGGGAAATAATGGAGCGAAAAGGCGTTTACAGGATCACCCATGCTCATTCGCTTTTTGAAGTTAACAGTACGGAAGAAATCAAACTAAACGTAACAAGTTAAACCCCCTTTTTTCTCCTCCTTTCTTTGGTGTATTACAATAGTTGTATAACATTTTTTATTACAACAGTTGTATAACATTTTTTAACAATTGTTATTATCAACATTTATTATCACCAAGAACCGAGATGGATGTGTTATGCAGATACGCTTGAAAAACTTTCTTTCGAAGTTTCCACCAAAGAAAAATTTAGACACAGAATAGAAATCGCCTGCTGAAACAATAGCACTGATTAAATATCAGATTAAAGAGTTTTATGGGCTTTAATTGCCACAAAAAATAACGAGAATGTGAAAAGAACACATTGCTATCAAATAATGATTGAAGTTGATTGTTCACGAAATTTTATACTATGCATGTAGTATATGCAAGGTGATTAAATAATATCTGACAAAAACGTAAAAACAGTACATGGAACTGAAATATGTAGATTTTTTAATGGAATATGTGTGCCTAAGTGGCGCGTTGAGGTGGTACAAAGCGTTGATCAGAGATAGGTAAAAGCAGTGATTGCGTAAATTTTTACTCTCCGTGAAGTTTTCTAATGGTATGCATCCTTGCATGAAAGCGGAGGTTGCTGATATACATTTTATCTACGGAGCTGCAATTGAAGTGAGCGACTACCCAAAGGAGGTACACGGAAATCTGATATATTTCTAGTAATTTCTGCTCCTTGAAATTACTGGAAGGCATATGAGGGTCGAATACAGTTACAGTTACACATGAAATAAATTAAAGTTATTCAATTGCAATATCTATTATGGTGATACAGGAACCGAAGAAAATATCGCCAAATGGTCGCTAAGTCTGGCGACTCTTGGATATTTCTCGCCAAATTTGGCTACGAAAATGAACCACCAAAATCGCTGCCACTTGGCGATATCTCGCTAATTTAACGAGATAGCCATTTACACAATACTAAGACAATGTTAAGTAGATTTGCCATGCACTCTTACTTTTCCGGTAAGCTTCGCTCCTCTAGATTTTCATGTTACATTATATATATATATAAACACTGAAAGCTTTCAGATTTTATAGTACGCCCAAAGTGGCGTTTTTTTTAACGTTTTCGTGTGTTATTTTTATTTATTAAATATTTTCATGTTCTTCGTACTTAAACAGTAAAATTCAACTCAACAGAAGTAATATCGCAAAATAATTTAAAAAGAGCAGATCTTTAGAATTTCCGATATACAGTCTCGCGCCCTGGAATTTTTTTTTTTTTTTTCCCTCCCGTACAGTGCTGATGTACTTGAAATTTAATTTACTTTGAAATTTAATTTAATTAAGTTTGTTAATCAAAAATTCGTAAAAGTTTTGCAAAATATAAAATCGATAATAAAACAAATTCCAAATTTAGGCTTCCAGATGCCCATATTCGAGTGGAGGTCTACGTTATTCAAAAGTTAATGTCTCTGGGTGCCGTTGTTTTACCATCTCAAAAAGCAATGCAGGACGTTCGCGAAATGCACGAACGCCAGAAATGGAAGAGCGAGTTGTAGGCATTTTGAGCACTTTCTGCAAGTTTTTCACTAAAAAAATAAATCTGATTGCGCAACTTTTGGTCTCGTTCATTCGCTTTATTCGACCCTATGTTCTATGGTAATTATTGCTCGTCTGGGTGGGTACTATCACTTCTCTTAATTTGTAAAAACAATTTAGAATCACCCCGAATAATATGAAATACTAAAAGTCAAACATATAGTTGATGCTCGCCAAAATTTTTTAAATTCTAAACTGTTTCGCTTTAATTTAGGTTCAGCACCACTAGTGCAGAACCTTTAAAGCAGAATTTGTTTGCACGCTCTATGGATTTTTAGCGATAATTTCGAAAATGATGAAGAAATCAGCCAAAGTGGATGGCGATTTTCCGAAAAAAGATCTAACATCAACCATTTCTTACGAAAACGGTTTCATAGCACAGCGTTAGTTCTCCACTGTTCTATAGTTATATTCGAGCTTGGTAAAATTTCGTGCAATTCATCTCGAACTACAGTAAGAGAAAATCACTGTTTACCGGAGATTTCGAAAAAGCAGTTTTTGGTATATTTCCATTACGCACCTACCACGCATTTTGGCAAGTGTGTTCAATGGAAAAGTACCGTTTGTATATGTTATCTATAAATTACTCTTACAATTAGAAATTATTTACAATTAAAAAACCCACCAAAGTGCATTTCAGGTATATAACGGAAAAGGGCACTTACCCATTAACTTAGCCACCTTGGCGCAATAGCAATTTTAAATACAAAAAATAAAGATTTCGTGATTTCATGATACATTAAAAAATAAAGCATTTACATTCGGCTTCTTCTTCTTTCTTTCTTTTCTTTTATTTATTTATTTATTTATATTCTTCTTCTTCTTCTTATGGAACGGTGTTTAAGACACCCGGATACCTGGGCGAATGCTACCCCGAGTCGAATAATGCAAAGTTTCGAAATAGTATCTGAACTAACTTTAGGTTGATTATAATAAAATTATATGTATCGATTTATACTAATATTTCTTTTTGTTTCCTTTTAAAAATTACAAAAAGTATTAATATTTGTGCCAGAAAATGGGTAAATGGGGAAAAGCATCAGAACGCCGTCGAGCTTGGTACAATACGGAAAGGTGAGCAAGTGCAAAAAGTCATACCAACAGTAGAAAGGTCGAATAAAAGTTACTTATAAAAATACACAAACATACAAGTAGGAAAAGAAAGCAAAGTAATGATACATTAATCTTCTATAATTAATTCTAGGATTTAGAATAGTCATAGCCGTCTTATGTTTGCACATAATTATAATCGTAACTGTAAATTCGCAGTTCAGTGTTGTTACTATTTCTCATACGACAATGAATCATACGACAATACGACAATACTCATACGACAACAAAACTTTTAGCAAGGTGGTAGTAAAAGGCTCTGAGCTTGGTAATCCCAAGCTCCTCATGATACTATTACTACGAATGTTACGTGGTACGTTCCGTAATCTACCTCAAAACACTGTTCTAGACAGTTTGCAACTTTTTCCTGTAAGATTTACATGAATATGCCCAGACCGGACAAGCATAACACAGCATGGGCCGCAGGATGGACTTATGAGTAGTTTGTTATCAAAAGATAGAAATGCTATTTCGGGCAATTAGGGGTAGAGTCAAGCTTTATGCACCCGAAACTTCTGGATAATAGAATGTATGTATGGGTTCCATGTGAGAGAATTTGTGAAGATCACCCTAATATAAGGGACTTGCTCAGCCCAGGAAAGAGTTTCTACATAGAACTGCAGATGCTGTTTAATGAGCTTCTTCTTGGTAAATTAATATTGCAAGAGTTTTTTCAACATTTACCATAACTTCTCATTTACGTGGCCAAGCCTCTAATGCATAGATGGGATTTTTGAAATATTTTATGACTGGACTAAGAAATGCATTCTGAGCAAAGATCGCTGTATCGTCAGTGTACATTAGAAATGTAGTGTTGGGTATGCGAGGAACGTCATTCATATAAATGATGAACAGAGTGGGGCCCAGTAAGAATCCCCGTAGAACACCAGCTGAAATAGTCTTTCCCCAAGTACACAGCGATCTTTTTTCGCTTAAATAAATCAGAGAATTGCAGTGAGTCTTTGCGCAAACCTCGACAAAACTGGCTATCGACCAAACGCATCTCTTCGTTGTTCCCGTAGAGATTTTGCGGTAAAATTCTGCATTCCTGCAGCAATTATACCCAAGTTTCTTCCATTGCAGGCAAATTCCACAAGTGCATATTTTAAAATTAAGGCAAAAAAGCACGGTTTGTTTACAAAAACCTTTGGAACTTGGAATACAAGCAAAAAAAAAAAAAAAAAAAAAAGAACGCATACGAAAATGATCCGTTCGCTTAAGAGTGTTATAAGAGTGATTCCCTAAAGAGTGGTTATGCGCGTGGTTGCCAGAGTTTGTTACATTCAGAAAATTCGGCGATTTCTACTAAAGTGGTTGCCTAAGTACCCGGAAAAATACTTTTGATGTTTTGATGCTTTCGTTGCTTATTCTGGTGTATAGCAGGGAACTGAAAAAGACCTTTTTTTTAACTGGAATTTACATATGTCTATGACCAAAGGTCAGGCTGCGTATGGACTTTTACGTTAAGTAAACTTCCTCTTCCGTAACATTTTCGAGCGGCTGAAGGCTTATTATAGAACTATGCAAAGCATTCTTCTTTGTGGTCTGTTTAAATAAAACTTAATATAGTGGAAAATTAATCAAACAGATGTTCCGCCACAAGTATCAATTTATACGTTAACGCCAATTCTTTCATTACAATTTGAATGCAAAATGGCATGAAGTTGTTTTTAATTTTTAATAATTGTCTTAAGTAATATTCAGTTTATTTTCCTCTGCTTTGATAGTAATATAATAAAAATAAATCCAGATGCTAATCTTATTCAATATTATCAAACAAAAATTTTCTTTATAGCCTTATTGGTTCTCAAAAATATGAACTTAAAAGTATTTTTTCACGAGCCATGACTATGAATTAACTGTAATCATTCCACTTATTTAAAAACGATTTTTTATTTACATTTGTTTATATATGACTCATAAAACAAAATATAAAATAATCAATTTAATTTCACTCTGGAAAAAGGTAATTATCTTTTTTAATATATATATAAAATATATTAATGAAAGGTTTTTAGGGGCTCATATTTCGTTCTCGAGTTCTTATTATCATGCACATCATTTTAAGATAGTTTTGCAATTAATAACTTTGTTTTAGTTTCTTTATTTTAAACGTTTATTAATGCAAAATTTATTTACTCCTCGCGAATTTTTAAATATGTATCTTTTTTCCTACAGGAAATGCATCATCTAACGAAGTTTTTTATATTCTTTTTTATATCAACTTTTTCTAAAAGAATAACTGCGACTCATAGTCGGTTTTCGAGTGAAGTGAAATTTATGCACTGCCTCTGTAGTAAGTCCTAACAATTTTCATTATATTTCTGTTTACTCATTTCTTCTCCAAATGATTTTGTTAGCTATTGAGCAAGTGTAAAATTTCAAGAAATACCGATTAAACAAGCCTGAAAGTTAAAGAAAAATCTGTCTGTCGAGAAACCACAATCATCAAGTTTCAGAAAAAAGCTGTCAAATATTTACCTTCAAAGTACACCATTCTCTATAAGTACTCATACATCAGTGCATTCCAAAGAAAAACATCGCTTCCGATAATCGAGATTCTGCATTATAAGGTCCTTAAGTATTATCCTGTCGATTGTGAAACGGGCTCCAAGCGGCACGATTTAGCGCCAGTTATGGATAAGCGTGATTCAGCAACACACTCATAATAGCTGCGCTTTCATTTGATGTGACAGCCCAGGTTGATTCTGAATAAGTTACGTTTTATTTTTATGAATAAGGATATAAATTAGAAGTAAAATCCTAGTATACGGTACGGCCTTTGCAAGTTTTGAAAATTATCGCCAGCACCAAAATGACGCGTTTACTGGTCATCATAACATCGCCAAATCCCGTGTATACCATATTCTGGAATTAAACCAAATTAGTTATTACTGTATCCCACCCATTTTTAAAAAGTGACTAAAAATTTTCAACCTGCCTTCTACAGAACATTTCTTCTATAGAATTAAAGACCTTAACAACATCGAGGACCCTTCAATGACTTTAACAACGGAAAGAATACTGATGTTGGATGCAAATATAATTTGAAGTTCTTGAGCTTTCTTCATTTACAGAGAAGCATACGACAAGATTTATTGCACGAAAACACCTTCTACTCGATAATATTCATTGTTTGTATTCCTCTTACTTCAGCGTTTAAAATAAGGCAGCATCGTAAATGGATTTATTTGCGGATATGGCTGACTGCTTTTTTCCCACAAATGAGTCTAAATTGTGCTTGAATAGCGATTTCAGATATATATTTATCCAGAGAGAATTTAAGAGAAGCCACAGTTCCAGCAACTGGAAAGACATAGATTTAGAAGGGGGGGGGAATCATTATTTGTGGTAGAATGATGCTAAATGATCTCTTATAGAGGCTGTTCGCACACTTTTTAGAAGCTTTACTTTGCTATAAAAAGTTGCCTGCTTATAAAAAATATATATTTTTTAATATAAGTGTAAATTACCGTCTGCTCTTTGATGATTTTATTTTCATACAAAATGGGGTCTTTTAAAGAAGCAATAGACGGAAGGCCATGTTTGTGTTCTTTCCGAAAAAAAATATTCGTATTTAGTTATTAAAAAATGCTGTAAAAGCCATGATTTTTCGGTAGGTAAAGCAATGACAGATAATATTGTCAAAAAGAAACTTAAAGTACATCAAAGTTTGACTTCAAGGAGAAAAATCGTTCAACATACATATCCAAGGAAGAAAGGGAATGCTTCGAATGTTGTAAAGGTAAGAATCTTCGAAGTAAAATGACAGTTGCATAATCATTAAAATGCTCAGTAAGTGATTAATGCTGAAATGAATCCTAAAAAGGCTAATAAACACAATGTGAATCGGCTTTTCGACAGCAGAACGCGCTGCAGAGTTCTTTATGAGAAACAATTACTAGGATAAAAATGAGAAAGTATTGTCACAATTGAGGAATCCTGGGTATATTTAAATGACCGCAATAAAAAAAGTAGACCCATTTGGTAACATCAAAGAGGAGAAAGAAATCTTAAAACATGGTTCAAAGTATCTAAAGAAAGTTTTCCAAAGGGATTTATGATAGTTGCTGGTTTTTGATATAACTACAAATAAAAATTAAAGAGAGTACAGAAAACTCTTCAGGTCAACTTCACATGTTATCAGAAACATATTTTATGCCCAAATTTCAAATATGAAACACTTTCTCTGTACCCACGGAGCCACCAATCAGTAGAACTGCATCAAGACAAAGCAAACAGCCACACGTCAAAATCTGTTGTTAATTTCCTTGAAAAAGTTGACCAAAGAAACGGGTATCAAGGTATCACATATCCCTGCTCTCTCAACTGCTCATACATTCATATCCCTGCTAGATCTGATGTATCATCGACGGATTTTTGCGCTTTGGACTTTTAAAAAGAGGAAAAGTGGATTGTCCAAATGTCGACCTACTACCCTCCTTGGACATCGGAAAACCGCAAAATGCGGTTTGCAGCTGAAGATGATGGTTCGGTAAAACCATCGAAACTAGTCCTGTGAAAATTTTGTAGTTATAACGCTGATTTTTGTTGTTTGACTTCTGAATTAGTATTTATTCGGCGTGTTATTGTGTCTTAATTATCGGAAAACTGTTCAAGAGGAGTGGGATAAAATAGCTTTTGCGCTACTAAAAAAAGCTTTATTCTCTTGGAAATTACGGTATAGAATGATAGTTATGAACTGGAACATTTAAAACTGAAAAATTTGAGGTAAAATATTTCTGTAAATACATTGACGTTGACACCAAGAGTGGAGTATCCATTCCCTGGCTACTTTCTTTGAGCTGCCTTACATGTTAATAGCTCTCCACGCCCAGAGACTGTACGGAGGGGCGCCACACCCACCGATCAGCCCACGGGGACTTCTCATGTTCATAGCCACCATCCATCGCCGAGGACTGAGCGGGTAACCAGCCCCCGTACAGCAATTAATATGTACATGAGAGCGTCCCCACATCCAAGGTCACAGACACGACAGTACCAGTACGGTACCTGCAAAGCCTGCACCTACCACCGTATAATCGATGGTTCATGTCACTGTGAAGACTGATTATCTACCCAAGAAACCGAAGCTGTCAGGGCACAAGTCCAGCCAGTGGTCTGGAAGAACCCCGGGTCCCCTCTCAAAAATGATTGGTTCCGGAAATCCCTACCAGTCGATCTCAAAGGATGGGTTGTCCAGCATCATTAGCCTATGCCAGCCAAGGCCGAAACCTCAGCCGACATAGTTACAAGCGGGCGCCACGAGGAGGCTGATACTGAACTGAGGGAGACGAGAGCAGGTTTTCCCGTCTCTATTCCCTCAACCCCTGCCCTTTGGTCGAACACCAGGTCTCCTGCCTTTCCTTCCGCGCACGGTCAGTTCCAGTAGGTTCGGACATTCAACTTCCAGGTCAGGTGCCGGCCTCCGCTTCTAAGATCAAATGCCAGGTCTCCTCCCTCAAGGGGGCGGTTCTGGACATTTGTCCTCGGGGTACAAACGCCACCCGCCAAATTCTGTAAATACAATGAAAATCGCCTAAAAATGTGCGAACAGCCTCTGTAGATCACTATATATTTGGTACTTTTCTATTATCGGGATTGGACTCCTCGCCAAAATGTTTTGCTAAACTGGCCAAGATATTGGTTCATATGAAGTGGCCAATGTTTACCTTTAAAATGGTTACAATATTTACTTTTTTTTTTGAAAAACGTAAAAGAATATGTTTTCAGAATTGGCAACGAGAATATTATTTCTTAAGATGTGACGGTCACTTATGTTTCGCCATAAATTTACTGTATTTACCATGGATATGATAATTTGGAACTTACCTAATGATGAAACATCTTCCATACAATTTCTTCAGGAACGAGGATTTATTCACTTTCAAAGCACTATTTTTGATTGGAACAGTTATATAAGGGAAATCTGTGGCTGTGCGTTAATGTCTAGGCCGTCAATTAAAATAAGCTACACTCGTAATATCATTGAAGCTGACGAAAGTCTGTTTCCACGTCGAAAAAAGAAACGTTGGTCGTATTCATCCGCTCCACTGGGTATGCGGCGAGATTTTCCGAGAAAAATAAAAGAATGTGTTTAGTTGCTATGCCTAACCACTCTGTCAGGACTTTGCTAAAGTTACAAGAAAATATTATTGATGGCACTATATATACTCAGACTGTTGGAAAGGATATAACACTGAAGAATAAAGAGAGGTCGAATTTGAACATTTCTGCATTTACCATAAACAAAATTTTATCGATCCCGATACTGTTTGTCATACTCCAACTATTGAAAAGTCATAGGACCGAGCAAAGTAACGAAGTCAACACGGCAAACTGATCGTAACGAATTAGGTTCTTATTTAATTGAGTTTATGTCGCGGTAGCAGCCTCCTAAAACGCGAATGTTTTCAGACATTTTAATGATATCTGCAGTTTCATGCCTCCGTGTTAATCTTAATTCGCTAACCAATTTTTCCCCCTATTTTTATTTATTTATTTATTTATTTATTTATTTATTTTTGCAAACTGTTAAATTTACATTAAACTTTTCTAATTTTACGAATATCTCTTATGTATTTTTCCCTTGGATTTTTTTTCAAATTAACCGTATCTTAAATTTTGGCGATTATTTTTATGCTTCGAACTTTTCGCCACCAGATCGTCAGCTTTTGGCGATATCTGAATCCAGTCCCGATAACAGAACAGTACTATATACAGTACAAAGTCCGTAATCCGGACTCGTCGGGACTTCGACGATTCCGGATTAGGGGTTTTTCCGGATTATAGATCATCAATTTAAATCTGATAAGATGGCATGCAGAAATTATACAATTAAAAATATGAAACCGTAATTTATGAAATAAAGAGCAATTATGATCTAAAATGTATCAAAATTTACCAAAAAAAAAGCTTAATATATATTTTACTTTAGTAAACATTTCTATCAATGTAAGTTGTTTAAGTTGCTTCGTTTTTTTGTGTTAATACTTTCTCTTTAATTCTATAAACAAATATAATTTCTTGTTCAGTTACAAAGTTCCACTGTTCAAGTCCTGTAATTGCTGTGTTGAGAATACCGACTAACTTGTTAATCGAAATTTTTTCGTTTTCAAAAACGTTCTCTGTTACTTTCTTCACTATCCGGAAGCGCGCATGGGTAAACGCTTTGCTGGCTTTACGAACATGCGTAATGGACGCGCGCAACAAACGCGCATGCGTAAGTTCGTGGCTTTGAGGTCCGGATTATAGATCATTCTGGATAATGGACGTCCGGAATAGAGACTTTGTACCGTATTCAAAGATGGTTCCTTGAATGCTCAGAAACAAAAACATGAAATCTAGGCTCAAACAGTGACAATTTTTAGACAACCCTTTAACAATGAATAATAATAAACGACCTTATCGAATGTACTAGTCTCTGGGTGTTTGGCAAGTGAAATGAATAAAATAAAAATGGATCACTATGCGCATTTCCCCAAACTTATACACAGCTAAACATGTTAAGGATGCTTGAACGTCGCAAATTTTCAGTCTGTTCTTATTTTCAGCGTCTTACTTTCTTTATATAATTATAATCATTGTCTTTATTAGGAGCCTTAAAGAGTTAAGAAACAGAGAAACTTGCTTCTTCAAAATCTTTTAAACTCATTTTATTCATTTTCATAAACAGCGTATTAGCCAGTTTTATGCTTTTGTCAGTGAAATTTACACGTCTTCTTGAATTCTTTCCAGTTGGTATTTTTTTTGCATCTGTAAGATTTAAATATTGCTTTTTGTTTTGTTGTTACTTTTTCTTGTATATCAAAAATTAATTTCAAAGTCTCATACCATCTACTTTTGTATTTCATTCTGGAAGAGAGAAGCAGTTGTGCCCATTTTTTATCAATTTCTCTTTAATTTTTCATTCCAGTGTGCACCCTAAAATGGAACTCTGGTTTCACATTGAGCGATTTCCGCCGATTTATTATCACTTTTACTCTGTTCACTTTCATCTGATTCCAGTTACTTTAGATAAGTAGATTATTTAGAAAAACATTCGGCCATTTGAAATAATTGAATAAGATCTCACATAAGAGTATTCAGAGACACTGAGAGATTGGCACGTTTCGTTGGGAGATTGTGTCCTGGTGAAATCAGTATAATCATTTTGGGATTTAAAAAAGGATGGGTCGTTAACCACCCAGGTGTTATGAACGTTCGAATAAAAATGTTCTGTCCTATTTCAAGGAAATTAATAAAACATCAGAAAATCTTTCTTGAACAGAATTAGATGAAAATTATTACCTGCTACTAATTATTTTCCGAACCATAATACCAGGAATGATATCATAAAATAATATGTACTCTAGATCAGTTAAATGAAACAGAAGTGTTTGCCTAGCAAGATTATTCCAATAAAATGTTATGCAAAATGGCTTCCAGTGGCGATTTTGAAGCAATAAACGTTATGATTAAATTAAACCAGCTTTTTCATTCTGTTACAGTACGTAATTTTAATTAACTTGAAATCCATATGCTATCGATTTCTATAGTCAACGTAAACTCAGATGTTTCATATAGTTCTAATTAATGAGACGAATTAATAAGGTTCAGTGATATCATCCACTCTGTCGTTGGGTGATCATAAGTGGACATAAGTTTAGTTAAAAAAGAAATCAGTTTAAAAGTAGTAATTTAATTTTATGTCTTGCAGGTGTTCCTGTGGATTACAGATTATATAAAATAAACTGCATGGAACGTTTTGTTTCTCCTGATAATGCATTTACGGTTAGTATGAAAGTTCTATGAAAAGTATTATCTATACTTTTAAAATCTATGTGCATCTGGCTGTTTGTTAGTTAGCTTTTTTATAACATCATCTTCTCCGGAACAGCAGGAAATAAAGTTTCAAGGGAGGTACCTCTCCCCCTTCCCCATGGATTCCAAAACTTCGTGAGAAGCCATTTCGATCATTTTCATCTTCGTATACTTTTAGTCTGCCGAGATATTAGTTAAAAACTCCGAAAGCGCTAGTTTGGCAATAAAAAAATTATTTACGAATTGGCTGTTGCAGGTTGCGCGAGATATTAATTACTGATTGCTGCGGGTTGTTGCGAGATATTAAAAACTCTGAAAACGTTAATTTGGCAACAAAAAACTTACTTATGAATTGGTTGTTGCGGGATAAGCAAGATATTAATTTTTGATTGTCACGGGTTGTTTTGAGATATTGATTAAAAACTCTAAAAATGCTAATTTGGTAACAAAATATTTATTTACGAATTGCTTGTTTGTTTGAAAAGCCGCTCCTCTGGCGCGCTTGCACGTTAGTCAAAAATAAAAAAAAAAAAAAAAAAAAAAAAAAAAAAGAAAGAAAAGAAAAGAAAAAAAAAGAAAAAAAAAAAGAGCTTATTCTGTTGAATTCATATACAGACTTTTTCATTTCAGCGGCATATAAGAGTTTTGTCTAAATGTTCAAACTTTTAATTTTACGTTGAGAGAGAACATAAGAATTAATTATTCTTAGCAAAGCAAGCCAAACTGAAGATCTTGATTGACTATGGCTATTAACCATATTTTAAATTAAGCTGAAGGTCGACTTTTATTTCTGGGTCTTCGAGCAAGATCGTAAATAAGAGTAGTTCCAGCGTTTAATTTGTTATTTAACTATCTGCAATTAAATTAATACATTATAATTTTTTATTTAATTCCTTACGTTTTATTTAATTTTATTACTTACTGTTTTAATTATTTAATGTTGTTAACTTTCTTCATCCCTATGGTTACAGGCATAAACATTGAGGCAAAAACATAACGAACGAAAACGTCGCAGAGAAAACAGCACAAGGCGAAAATGCCCTCGTGGGAGAACATATGGCAGTTCTAAAACATAGTGCAAAACGTCGTTACAGCTATTCCAGATACAGCTATTCAGATTCGTCGCAGTTTAAAGCGATTCAAAATATTGCTATTCAAAAACTTCGCAGTTTAAAGACGCCGTTGTCGAAAATAATCGGAAAAATATCCGTAAAAAATTAAACCACCTACAAATCATCGCATGACGATAACATCGCACACATGCGTTTTCCAAGCTTTAAAAGTTGTCAATGCATATTTGCATAATTATTTGTGAGCGCAAGAAGGAATAAGGAATGTATTTTTTATGTTTTTGAATTAATGAATTGAATGAATTTTATTAAGAATGAAAGTTAATTAAGCAATTTTTATAGAGGTAACAACATGCAGTTACTCATCTTCCTTTTTCTAATCGTTTTTAGACTACATTAATTTCTTAATAATCTTTATTAACTATACAAATTTAAGATTCTATTAACTGATATAACTTAGCATTATTTTTCTACTCATTTCTTAGTTTTTGAACTTGTTTTTTATTTTTTCAGCATACAAAAATTTATTAGTTAATGAAAAAAACAGGAAATATAAAAGTAAAAATATTCCCCATTCCTTCTTGAGCTCATAAGTCATTATGCGAATATGCATTTACAACTTTTAAAGCCTAGAGTCATGTTTGTGATATTATCGTCATGCGATGAACTGTAGGTGCTTGATATTTTACCACGATGTTTTCGACGACGATGTTTTTGAAACACTTTATTTTCATTGACGATGTTTTATACCACGACGTTTTAGAACTGTAGTGTTTTGTCCTTGCTTTGTTTTCTCCCACGATGTTTTACATGGCAATATAATGTTATATATAATGTCAACGTTTTCTTAGATATTATTGTTCATGGAAAAAATTTGGTTACGAGGAAGAGTGGAGAAAGGTTGATGAAGAAGCATTGCTGAAATAATTCGCCATTCAAAGAAGCTATAATCTAGACTAGATTATAGAGAAACACGCTAATGTGAATCATTATTTGAAGTTCAGATTTTGGGGCGTAATGTGCATTTGCCCCTCGCTCCCTATTTTAACTTCGCTAATATTTCTTTATGCTTGATCAGACAGCCTGGCTCAGTAAAAGTAGGCGGCCAGTGCAACTCTGATTAAAAATCTAGTTATAACCACGTGCAGTGCTGATAAGCACTACGTGTTTCTGTGACTCCTTCTCCTATTTTCTTCTTTCTATGTATTTCTTTCTCCTGATGAGGAGGGAACTTTAGCTGCCCTCGAAATCGATTGAGTGTTTCATTATACCTACGCTAAATATAAGGTTGTTTTTTACGATTTTGAAGCTATAATCTACCAGTACTTGGAGAACTGCTTCAGGCAAAGGCCAATGAATTTTCCAGACGCATTGGAGAGACTGGAAAAAATTTAATAACTGCACGTATAAAAATAGAGAAACAAATTTAATAACTGCACGTATAAAAAGTTGTTCTCACTTTATAGAAATTATTTTCTGTTTAAATTTTCTCGCTACTGTTTTGAGATAAAGATTTGGAATTTTCAATATAATAGCTTGCTAGTCTTTTGTTTTGATCAAGAAGCCGAATAAGACATGTATTTTATTAGAAATAGCTCCTAAAAATAGATAGCTCGAAGGTTAGGTAAATGCATCAAGTAATGAATGTAAAATGCAAAAAATCAAGGTTAATGCATTTCTAAGAAAGTTATGTCTAATATATTAAATTTCAAAGGACTAAAAAAATCTAGCTAAAAATAAAATTAAAAAAAAAATGCTGCAGAACAGCATCCTTAGACTGTTCGAACGCAGGTAAGTGTCAAGAAAGTGTGAAGTCTCTCATCCTGAAAGAAGATCCACCGATTCAAAGATGCATTGCATCGGAACTGGGCATATCTTCTAACACCAAGTAAAATAACTCGTAAAGTTTTGAAGTTAAAAGTGATTAAAGTGATGGTTTTACCGAACCATCATCCTCAGCTGCCAAAGAGCAAAAGAACGAGATAATATATAGTGATTAGATAAGATAGGATAAGAATTGCTGGACAGGAGTTAAGCTACTGCCACCATCTATTGATGAAACGAAAACTAAAACATAATTTCCTTAAAGGCTGAAGGCGAAGATGGATTGGAATTAGGTTCGTTAATTAGAATAGAAAGCTTTTTTTTTTTTAATGTGAAACGCGTCTAGAAAATCTAATTCACCAATGGAAGATGTTTTTTGAATAATTTTGGCTGCAGAAAAATTGAAAGTGTGATTTTCGGACCAACAATGCTGGGCAACAGAAGACTTCTGTGTTTCCTCTTTTCTAATATGCCTCATATTTCTTAACGAGAAATTTCAAGGCTCTCATACTTTGAACAATGTAAATTAAAGCACACTGGCAAGGAATCCTGTAAATACCCCAGGAATTCATATCTGGAATGGGGTCCTTGAGTTTGGAACTCAGAATTTTATTGATAGCAGAATAAACGACCCGAAAGTTAAATTTCTGTAAAAGACGTGCAATTTTATAGCTGATTGATGAAAAGATCCATCTTTATATATTTATATATATATATATATATATATATATATATATCAATATATTATACATATATATGTGTGTGTGTGTGTGAGTACTTGTGTGTGTGCACTCTAAGTTTGACTGCTCGGAAGTTTTCTTAATTTAAATGGATAACTTTAGAAAGTATATGTGTACAGTTTTTCTAATTTTTCTTTCAGTATACTTTGTTTTTGTAGTTTGGTATTTTTACAATTTGATTAAAGCTGTTTGTATATTATATTCTGTATTTTTAATTGATAGATGGAGGACATGTAAGGGTAGTTCTTTGACATTGTAAGACTATCAGAAAAATAATTTTAAAGCAAGAAAATTAATTTACAACGGTTTAAGACATATAATGTCGAGAAGAACGAAACATATTCTTTAGCACTCATTAATCGTACTGTTTTAATATTTTAAACTCTAACCCCTTATAAGGTTCTCTTTGAAACATTAAAAAATGTAATTAATAGTTTATATGTATTATTTTTATTTTATATAATAATTTAATTGTTTACATCACTTCTTACATTTTTTTTCCACTTTTATAACAAAAGTTTAGTTTACATCTTAGGCTTAAAAATTTTTTTCACGTCTAGTTTACGAACCATTTATTGGCCCTACATTTTTCCTCAGCTAGGATAATCTTGTAAAAAATAATTTTTTGAATTAGATATACACACTTTTATACGGTTCATAAGTCAATGCCGGCCTTAATTTTCGCAATCGTGAGTCATATCCTTCCAATTACAGAAGAGTTATAAATGACGAAAATATTCATCTTTAGGCAATGTCAAATTTAAAAAAAAAAAAAAAAAAAAAAAAAAAAAAAAAAAAAAAAAAAAATTGGAGAAATAATGAAATGTAGTTTTTGGTGTAGTCTCTGATTTCGTATACTTATACTTGGAAAAATTTTATACTCATTACGAAAAAATAAATTATGAAGAGTTTAACTCACAATAAGATAAAAATTGACTGAGATGTTTAATTTTAAAATTTGCAATTTTTGATTTCATTTTCAACTTGCCTCGAGGGATCGATTAATTAATTAAATTAATTTGAATAAATAAGTTTAAATGAGGTTCAGAAAAAGTGTATATAATTTAATAGGTCGTACAAGGAAGTCATGTGATATCCATATCAGAATTTTTAAGTTATATTTATTATTTACTTCTTTTGGTAGATGTAAAAATGTTTATCAATCATTTTCTTTATTTTTATTCATCATTCATTTTTTAAACTTTTTTATGAGGTAATATATTTTTTTTATCGGATCGAAAATAGCGAACCACTGGATATAGCGAGCCACAATTCTGGCCTTTGGGAATTTGTTATAGCTGGGTTTGACTGTATACTGTTACAAGTATATAGTGATTTTCGTTTGCTTTGCCATATAAACTGGTGTGCAAAACTTAAGCAACAATGTAAAAATTTAGCAGATAGCCATGAAATTGCAGAAAAGGAGGTCTGGAGATCAGTACAATGAACACGTAAGTCAGTAGAAACGTCATGAGTATACAAATATCAGGAACGAAACGTCAGAGGCGACGTGAGCGTACACAAAAGGCGTGATGTCGGCGCGAGCAGCTCAACAGTAGAATAAAAGGAAGGACGGAGACGCAATTCAACATATTCGCTGCAAGTGCCAATGAGTCAGTTCGTGAAACATGGCTAGAAGAAATCACCTGGACGACTTCACAAGTGAAAGATGATCGGAAAGCTGGAGGAGGGGCGTACTGTCACCAGTGTAGCTGCAGAGTTCAGAATCAAAAAACTGTCGTTTCGCGCGCTTGGAAAGCGTTCCAAATCACAGGTACAGCTGTTAGAAAGGTTGGTGGTGGCCGCCCGAGGACGACAACTGCAGAGGATGACCGATATATCGTCCTGCAGGCGAAAAGAGCCGACAGCAATTAGCAAGCGCCATTGCTCAGCAACTCTTGTACAGCAAAAGGGCGACAAGTGTCGCGGTTTACTGTGGCCAGACGCCTTCACAAAGGGGGCCTCCATCCTGAACGCTGCCTCACGTTGAATGTTGGCCGCCGACGCCACCGTTTACAGTGGTGCAGAGAGCACAAAAACTAAACAACTGATCAATGGAGTCGTGTTCTCTTTATGGATGAGAGTCGGTTAAGTACTAGAAGCGATTCTCAACGCGTTTTGATTTGGAGAGAGGTCGGGACTCAGTTTTACCTCAGTAACATAAAGGAAAGACACCGTAACAGTGGTCCTGGAGTTCTTGTCTGGAGAGGCATTATGCTGAACGGGCGAACTGAGCTCCACATTTTCGACAGAGGGTCTGTAACCGGGGATGGCTATTGTGAGGAGGTACTCTTTCCCCATTGCATCTGTTCCGAGGTGCCAGTGGCCCAGAATTAACTTTTGTGGATGACAATGCACGGCCATATCGGACTCTTGCTGCTGAGGAGCTACTGGGAAGTGGAGGTATCCCTCGAAAGGATTGGCCAGCGTACTCCACAGATTTAAATCCCATCGAACATGTGTGGGATGCTTTAGGAAGACGCATTGCAGCACGCTTACATCCTCCGGAGAACACTCAACAACTCAAACAGATGCTGATTGAGGAATGGGCACTCCTACCGCAAGAAATGTTGCACCAGCTGGTTCTGAGTATGCGGAGACGGTGCGAAGCAACCATTGCAGTGAGGGGAGGGCATATCCCATATTAAGGAACATCTGCTTGTTGTTCTTCCTCTTGGATAGACAATCATGAGTCACGATACTATGCGTTCAATAAAGCTTGTTTTTGTTTGATTCGATACCGTATGCATTGTATTCCTTTTTCAGCTCCGATGCTTTCGTCATCCTTTACGTACATAATAGTCTCCTTCATTTCTGCATTTCATGTCTCTCAGTTGATTTCTCCTGGAGTTATGGCAAGAAACCCTGCTGTTGCTTAAATTTTGCACAGCAGTGTACGAGGATTAAGTTAAAATATCAAAATCCTGTATATTCATAAATGAATGAAAAATTGAAAGCCAAAATGAAATTAATAGTCCTTCAGGGCAAATTGCCCCTTTGGACTAAAAAGATTCTTGTTGAATGAAATCTTCTGTGTTTCAAATTTAGCTTGCTCGAAGTGTGCAATACTGCGGTTATTTTGCCTACAAAACGAATTTTGGCCAGACGATGCGACAGGGTGTGAACATTCAAGATTATAACCCATGGGAACCAGCATCAGATCTAAATACAGAGAAGATATGCGGATACACTTACATTCGGCCAGACATATACATGGCTCCAAGCATTCAGGTAGGATAAAAACTGTTTTCTTCTTTTCTTTAACTTCCTTTTTCCGGCACTACATTATTTTTTTCCCCTCGTGTTTTAATTAATTTCTCTTCTAATATTTCTTTAGGAATTCTAGAAGATTTCCGATTTATAATACGAATAAGTATTTGTAATATTGACAGTATTACAAGTTTGCAATATTAGTCACTTAAACAGATAATTTTATAGATATATCGCTCGTCATATCTGAAGCATGAAGCAGGATGATTTTTTTTTCCAAAATGAATAAATAAGATTGTTTTATTTTTCTTCATATAGAGCGATAGTTTGACAAAGATGGATATTGCAAGAAAAGTGCTTCTTCGGCTGGTATAGTGATTAGTGAGATTTGGTTAGCAACTTCTGAGAGCCTAGACTCAAATCTTATGCAATGGAAGATTATGACTGGTTGATATCTTTTGGAATGGGGGAACTTTGTATCTGTCGATTCGAAAGTTCTTTTGATAGTTTACTAGTAAGAGAAAAACTGTCTTGAGAACTTTTAACTGCAAGAGTAGTTTCCGCCAAAATTGAGATTGAATTACAGATAAAATCATTTTATCACCAATTTTGACCTTCGCCATTAGTCAACGACAAATATGCCCCCAAACAACATTCAAACTCAAGACGCAATAGAAACACGTCAACGTGGAAAATAAAACAGGCAAATCGACAAGCTTGTATTCGGCGTAGATTTTGTAAAATCCCATCGATTTCGAGGGCACTGGTTGCCTGTAGGGTAAATGTCTATGTAAATGTCTTGGTAGGCTAGCATCCGATGCGGGCCAACTAAAAGCCCAGCGGGGTACAGTAGTGCGGCGGGGCAACACCTGTAAAAGTCACTGACGAAGTTCTGGTGCTCCGTTCACTTTTCCCTGTCCCTGTCCCTGCCTGTAGGGTATAAATATGATCGACATTCGCCTTCTTGTTATTGCAGAATTTTTTGCTCCTGATGAAGGGGAACCCGTTTTGCCCTCGAAATCGATTGGGATTTTACGAGCAAAATATATGCCAAATACAAGGTTGTTGATTTGCCTGTTTTATTTTTAACACTTAAACTGTTGATGAGGCTTTCGTATGGGCTTATGTGCTTAAATGCAAGAGCTAACAACAGAAATGGAAGGGGATAATTAACCCCTCTTCTATAAAGTAAAAATTTATACTACCAAAATGTTACTCCAGTTTTTATAAATTAATTTATTTCTGTCTTGTGCTAACGCATAAAATTTCCAAAATTTGCGATCCATATGCAGTCAAATTTTGTAAGAATAATATCGAAAGAATAATGAAAATACCTCCATTTTCTATAGAGAAACAGAATCCTTCGTCTTCTGGATATTTCGTTTCAGATGCTAATTTGTAATAAACTACGATGACATACACGTGTCTCCAAACGTTAAGTACGCAACACGAAATTCGACAGTTATGGAAAAGTTACGTTTGATCCAAAAATTTCTCACTAAGGTATTCAGTTCGGTTATATATTCTTGATCGAGAAATTATAATATAATGCCCTTCAAAATTTTAGGAACAGTACGTTTTTTTCTGTCTAATTTGAGAATGAAGTAACATAGAAACCAGAAATTTAGAGGATATGTTCACTAAACAGTTCTTTAATGAATGCGACATAGGAACATTTCTAAAGTTCAACACAAACATGAGTTACAGAAAAAAAAGAAAAAAAAATTGCACTCTTGGCATAGAAATCCAGTCTTGGAGAAACAGTATATAACAGTGTTTTGAGGAAAAATGGGGTGGTAGCATTACAAAAATAGGTACTACTAAAATATGGGTCCACCTGTAGCTGCAATACATTGGCGGCAGCGACGTTCCATGCTGTAAATTAAATTGCCGGTCAGTGAAATGGGAAGCAACAACCAGACACGGAGTAATCCTTGTTCAAGCCTATCTAACGACCTTGAAGGAAGACTTAAAGCAGAAACCTGTCTCCCAGAGTAATAACAAAGATGCTTTATCGCATTCAGGTCTGCGGACTGAGCTGGCCATTACGTCCGCTCCATACCGTGACCCTTAAGATCTTCAGCAAGCCGAGCTCGGTGTGGTCGCGCATTTTCATTCACCAGAAGAAATCCAGGACTAATAACAGCGGCATGTGAGAAGATATATTGATTAAGGATCTCATTTCAACATCTCACACCGGTCAAAGTTCCTGCATGGAACACATGCAGATCAGTGTGACCACCGAGAGAGATCATAGCCATTATTCCACCACCTCTGTAATTGTGTCTTTCCACAATGTGGGATTGGTTGCATCTGGTGCGTTGTTCCTCCAGATCAGCTGACAACTTGAATCACTCTTTAGTGTGAACCTGGACTCGTCTGTGAAAGGAACAGACACCCATTGTTGACTGGTCCAGGAGACGTGTTCTCTTGCCCAAGATAAACGGTCACCTCTGTGTCCTCAGGTCAAAGAGACACAAACAGCTGGTCATCTTGCATACTGATCTGTATAGTGCAGGCGTCTGTGCACTCTAGTAGTTTAAATTCTTGTTCCTGTTGCCATTAAATAATCTGCCATGAGCTGAGACACAGTATACTAAATACAATGTTACTCCTCCTTCAGGCCAAGAGAACTAAATAACGGTTTCCTGCAGATGTTGTAACTCTAGATCTGCCTGGAAGTTGTCTTTTAGACACAGAATCCTCGAATTTAAACTGATTCCGTAGTGTACATTACGAGAGATATTGAGACGTTAGCAGCATCAGCTTGTGACATCCCCATTTCCATCCATCCGATCGCCCGTCACCTCAGCGAATCGGGCAAATGACTTTTCCTGGACATTGATAGACTCTCATTCTCCAACTCCAACTTGCTTTGTTTGCCGCGATTAACCTGCGAAATTGCAGGTTGTGTTCCGGCTATCGAACTTTGGTACTTCTAGGAGCGCTGCAGGTAAGGAAATGCCGAAAAGACTCTTATGGATATTGTCAACGAAATTGCTAATAACAATTGAAGATCAAAACTCGTGGACAAAATTTACAATTTTTGCCTTTTTCTCTCCAACTCCTACATGAGTATGCCTTTCTATAAAGTAAAAGTGGTAGCTATTTTTTTCTTATATTTTCTTAAACTTCATTACTGTCATGCATATAAATTGTGAATTTAAATGCTACTGACATTTTTGTAATGGTGAGGTTTCAAAAACATGCTCTTTCTTAACTTTTGGAGGGCAGGGTAAATAATAAATAAAATACATTTAAGTACATTTGTAATCCTTTGTATATGTATACCATACTTTGCACGTTAGTAAAAACAATTGTAAGCTATGGAAACAAACAAAATACATCGTAATAAGTGAAGTGATGCAATCATCTCTGACCTACATACAAACTCTGAAAAAATTCTCCATGCTTCAATGAAGTGTTTATGCGCACCCAAAGAGTAACAGATAATTGCCATTTTTCTAATAGAGCAGCTTTTAGCTTTTTGGGAGTAAGCAGAGAGAATTCTCAAGGAAAAACAGAACGACCACTGGCATCTTATAAAATCTACAAGTATGTTAAGGTGGAGTGAATAGGCTGGCCACTCCATGCGAGCAATGCCTTCATTCTCGAGGTTTTCATCCAGTAGGTTTGTTCTGTATACAATTTCAAAATGGGATCATGGACTTCATTCCGATCCCTCTAAACTGTTGCAGAACTTCCTGTAAAGGTCTGCAAATCAGTCTGGTAACTTAAAGGAGATCCAACCCACACCATTATATTGTCAGCCCCGAATGAGTGCGTTCAATGGCATAAATGGGCTCTTTACTTGTTTCTGATTCTTTCCAGATCTTCACGCGTTTATTATCAGACTCCAGTACAAATATGGACTCATCCGTGAGTGGTACATTAGATCATTCACCTGCTTTCTAATTCGCATGATAACAACTCTTATTCAGCTGTGCTCCCTTAGCTTTAAACAGCGCGATACTCCAGACATGCAACTCTTTCATTTATTTTTGTCGCACTGTAGCAGCAGATATTAATCTTCTAATTATTGTAATAACCACTTTTCTTACAAGCTCGCTCTTATGGAGTACATAGTTGTTTAAAAAGCCATACACTTATGATCAGAGGATGCGGTAATCCTGGGGGGATCGGTAACGTGTCTTCAGACAACTGACCCACTCATATGAAATTGTTTTCAAACGTGAGAAATTCCAATGCGGTCAGGACCAAAGAAAATAGCGACATCTTTTAATAAACTGCTATGCTTGAAGCCGGTTGACAGCACGAGTGCCAGTCTTGAAAGTCGTCTAATCATCGTCTTTCAGTTGCAAGATCTTATCTAATCAAAAAGTAACCAAAATTCCCTTTCTGTATAAACTTATTTACTTCAGAAAAGTATTGCCCTCAATCGATGTTTAATTTGCATATTTGTCGAGACATTCGTTACATCAGTATTTTTACAACCACAAAGGGTTTCACTGAATGAAGTTGAAATGCCCGTTTTGAGCCTTAAAATTAGCCTCGCGTCCTTAACTTTTGAAAGAAGTGTATATGTACTTTTGTATCAGGCGTGTGTTTGTACTGAAAGAGTGGTCCTAACAAAACGTATATAATTTCACGAAGTAAAATATCTTAAATTTAAACAGAGTTGTTTCAGAAAGACTAAATAACTACAGGAATTATTGCTAAAAAGAGTTTCTTTGAATTTTAATAAAATATACTTTTAGTTAGAATAAAATTAATTTTTTACGTTCCTCAGGCTGTTACAAGTAAAGGCTGGGTGATTTCGAAATGCATCCTGAATATGGCAAAGATAGATGGTACAACAGCACGGACAATGCTTCAAGTAAGCTAATAATGATAAAATCTAGAACTATATTAAGACATAGGTTATAAAGTAAACCTTAGAATGTTAGGCTTACGTAAACTCCCAACTCGATATGCAACGAAAAATTTGCTTTATCAAAGCTATAAATAGATTAACTGCCGTTCTCTATCTAAAGCGTGAAATGTATGACCTTTCATTTTCCTTGTTTTACTCATGTTAGGAGCATGAAGCTTCAGGTGGTAAATACCCACGTAAAAGTTCTGCGCAACGCTTCCTGCGAGCGTGGTAGATCCGAGAAGAAATCAAAGTTTATATCTCTTCTCCTATTCATTAGGATAAATGTGCAAGGAGATCATCCATTTTGGACCATTAGAGAAATATATCGACTAAAGGCAACTAGTAGTTATTCCTATTGTCATTTAAATTTATTTGCTTTCGTCAGCTCGCATTCATTCCCTGCTTAGTAATCGACATTTCCATGAATCTGAAGAATTTATACTCATAAGTTAATGCGAATATTGTTTGACATTCAGGACATGCAGAAAGCATATTCTAGTTAATTTTTTAAAGACCAAGAAAAATAAGTACAGAGAAATTATGAAAACTAATTGCCAGAATATTATTTTTAGCAAGCTGATTATTCAAAGTAGTATGTATAGCTGTTCCGTTTAATGAAAATATGATTTCTCCCGAATGGTCAAAGTTTATTCTCTTAGCATTTTTAAACTACGAAGGAAAAAGAATTGGTATTTGCTATCCAAGAAAGTGAGAGACTATTTTGATGAATAGTGCAATATTTTTTCTATTGGGATTTTAAAAAACTCTCCTAAATTAATTTGTGCAGTTGTATACAATTCATGTAAACTTCAACACAATAATTTCTGTAACAAATGCCACTCCAGCAATATTTATTATGCTTCCTAATGAAAGGAAAGATCTAAAGTTCTTTAAACTGAAGGTGTACTGTATAGTATGGAAATCAGAACTGATAAAGCTAAATTGTGAAAGATAAATTAAAACAAAAGATTATAAAATTTAAAACAAATGCAAAATTGGATTTTTCAGAATCATGGGCGTTTCAGGCTTAAAAATAAACTAAAGCTAAACTAATGGTAAAAGGTACTACATCTATAATCTTAACCTTCTCTCTTCATTAGCTCATCCCAAATTTAAAACTGTTGGGTGTGCAGCAACCGTGCAACGAACTTTTAAATTAAATGCTAATTTAATGTTAACTATTTATCTTTTCCATGTATAGCAGTGCTGCAACTAAACTCTGGACTTTTCTTCTCAAGTGACGTGAACTGATTCTTGTGTGTTAGTCTTCCTCGTGCCTGTGCTGTTATCGCTAGCGTGCAGAAACGCGGTGTGATATATTTTGGTAGCATGCTCTTTTCTTTCGCTATGTAATTGTAAATAAATGTGATTAATTGAGTGAGCTTAGCTTATTTATGAATATGCAGAACCAACCTGCCGTAATTGGTGACCTACGGACGAAAAATAAATTAAGTTAATTGGTCACGTGCTTTGCTAAGCCTGCTGTGTTAAGCCCATCCCACTATGGCGACTTCGCTTTCTGAATAATTACGATTATTTTCCTTCTGCTCTCCGGAACTGTTTCAACATACTTGCGATGCCTCCTCCCGATCAGCAGAGTCAAGTCGTGAAAGTTGCACTTCGCATTCCACCTTTCTGGAAGGCTAACGTGCGGTTATGGATCGCACGGTGTGACAATACCTTCATTTACAGCGGAATTACAAGTGATGAAACGAAATTTTCTGCTCTTATAGCGAATATGGATGCGGAAACTCTGTCACACGTCTCAGATATCGTGCTAAACCCTCCGAACTCTGACAACTATAAAAAACAGTCTGAGAGGCTCATCAGTGAATTTGAAGATTCTGAACACCAGAAAATTAAAAAACTCCTCACTGAACTTCAGCTGGGGGATGAACGGCCTAGTCATCTCCTACGGAAAATGAAAGAGCTATCTGGGAGACATCTAAATGATGACTTTTTGCAAAATTTATGGATGCAACGGATGCCAGCCCATATCCAAACAGTTTTGTTTGCTTCTTCTGAAACACTTTATCAGCTAGCAATTATAGCTGATAAAGTTGCTGAGGTTGTCCAACCTAGCGCCATCTGTGCTACTTCTGGAGCTGAAACATTCTTTGATACCAGTGGCATCACAACTGAAACCCTAACCAGTTAAACCCTAACCAGGCAAATCGAAGAACTTACACGCCAAGTTTCTGAACTTTGTCGTGCACGTACGACAACTAGGTTATGGAGTCGCTCAACCTCTCGTTCCAGGAGAGATAATGCTTCCAGTAATGTGTGTCTCTATCATAACTTTTTTGGTGATAAGGCACGTAAATGTGCTAAGACTTGCGCTTATCAACAGCAAAAACACCTCTAACTCAAGTCATAGCTGGGATGACGGAAGTATCCAAAAAGCCCAGTCGGTTATTTTTTCACGACAGGAAGACTGGCCAAAAATTTTTGATTGATTCTGGTAATGAGATCTCAGTGTTACCTCTTTCCCCTAAAGATAAAAGAAACTGTAGTGAAACATTTGCGCTTTTTGCTGCCAACAACTCTAAAATTCCTGCAGATGGATTTGTACACAGACAGATGGACTTGGGTCTCCAGAAACATTTCTGATGGGCATTTGTGATTGCTGATGTAAGTTCTCCTATCGTCGGTGCTGACGTTTTGAAACATTGTAATCTTCTTGTTGATTTGAAACGACAGTGTCTTATCAATCCTGAATCTTCATTGTTTACTTATGGCAATGTTGCTCACAAAAGTCAACCTTCAATTGTCACTATTTCTGTAAATTCAGATTATGACTCCTTTCCTACTGAGTTTCTAGATATAACAAATCCTACTCTAATTAAGCAGACTGTTCCTCATAACACAGTGCATCATATCTTGACTCGTGGGCCACCTGTGACCTCAAAACCAAGACGATTGCACCCCAAGCTACACGAAGCAGTGAAATCTGAGTTCGAATTCCTTCTGGATCAAGGGATAATCCGTCCTTTCAAGAGTCCATGGAGTTCACCATTGCATGTCGTTCTTAAGCAGGATTCCACAGTTCGTCCGGTTGGAGATTACAGCAAGCTGAATTCTCTCACTGAATTTGATAGTTATCCAAATCCGTACCTTCAAGACTTTGCTCATTCACTCTACGGTAAATCTATTTTCTCAAATGTAGACATTTTTAAAGCATTTCACCAAATTCCTATTGCAGAAGCTGACATTCCTAAAACAGCAGTCATAACTCCATGGGGTCTCTACGAGTATACTCATCTGTGTTTTGCCTTAGTGAATGCACTCTAAACCTTCATGAGCTTTATGCACGAGGTTCGAAGGCGTTTCCCATTCTGTTATATTTACAATGATGATATACTATGTTTTTCAAATGATTCAGTGGAGCACATATATGCTATCTTTCAACGACTGAGTACTTATGGTCTCAAGTTAAATGTTTCAAAATGTGTGTTTGGTGTCACTGATCTAGAGTTTCTTGGTCACCTTATAAGCCTGAAAGGGGTAAACCCTTGCAAAATAAAGTCCAAGCAGTCCTAGATTTTAAGTTGCCTGAAAAATATTGGTAATTTGCATAAGTTCCTAGGCCTAATTAATTTCTATCGTAAGTTTTTGCCTCATGCATACAACCAGGCCTTATTAAGCAACGTTTTAAAGGGATCTTCTGGAAGGAAAAATTATTTGGACTCCGTTTGCAACTGAGGCTTTTAACAAATGCAAACAAGCACTAGCTAATGCCCCGTTACTTGCTCATCCTTCTCCCATTGCCCCACTTGCTTTGCATGTAGATGCATCTAATCATGAAATTGGTGGTGCTTTGTATCAGGTTGTGGATTCCAAATTGCAGTCCTTAGGTTTCTTCTTGAGGAAGCTCAGTAGAGCAGAAACTCAGTACAGTGCTTATGACCAGGAGCTCCTTCCTGCTTATGCATCCATTCCCCATTTCAGACAGAGTTTGTCCCCTTTACTGATCATAAGCCTCTCACATATACTTTCCATCAAAAGAATGACAAGTGCTCTTCACGCATTTAGATTTCATCTCGCAATTCACAACTAACATACAATACATTCCAGGACCTGAGAATATTCCTGCAGATGTCATGTCCCGCCTTAACTCTTCCTGCATCAACTGATTATTCTAAAATAACTACAGCAAAAACGTTGGATGATGAGTTGAAGTCCTTACTGTCATCAGACACATCCCTGCAGTTAAAAACATTACTCTCCCGGAATCAAACATCTGTGATCTATTCTGTGATGTATTCGACTGGCAGAGTTCGTCCCTATGTCCAACTCAGTTTCGCCAGGATGTTTTTGCCTCATTGCACAACATGGCTCATCCTGGTGTACGCAGAACACACCACATTGTGATGTCACGATTTGTTTGGCCGAGAATGTTATCGGATATAACTGAACGGACCAAATGTTGCATCGCGTGTCAAAAGGCTAAAATTCATCGGCATGCAAAAGCACCTCTGACAAGTTTTAAGGAGCCTTCGCAAAGATTTGACCACGTTCATTTGGATCTTATAGGCCCTCTCCGTCCCTCAAATGGTTATTTTTACTGCTTGACTTTAACCGTTTCTCTCGATGACCAGAAGCTCAACCACTCAAGGATATCTCTGCTGAAACTGTTGCAGAAGCATTTTTCCCATCCTGAGTCTCTATGTAGGAAGTGCCCTCTACTCTGACAACTGACCAAGGACGCCAATTTGAAGCTTCACTTTTTTCGCTCTCTCACTCATCACCTTGGGAATTCAGAGATCCAGGACGACTAGTTACCACCCCCAGTCGAATGGGTTAATAGAGGAATTGCATCGACCTCTTAAGACTGCTATCACGTGCCATGCCACTGAGCGGTGGACTGAACTCCTTTCTGTGATCCTTCTTGGTTTTCTTGCTGCTATGAAAGAAGATTTGGGTTGCACACCAGCAGATTTGGTTTTTAGCACCGCCATTCGTCTGCCTGGTGAGTTCCTGGTTCCTGCTCAACAACCGGCTGACCCCACAGATTTTGTCAGCCACTTACGTGAACATATGCAAACACATCGCCCTATACCACCCAAGAGACATGGTGATATCAAAACCTTTATACACCGTGATTTAGCAACTGCTACCCATGTTTTTCGTCATCATGATATGGTGAGACGCCCACTTCAACCTTCTTATGATGGACCGTTTTTAGTTGTTCGTAGAACATAGAAGGTCTTTTATCTAGACATAAATGGCAAAACTGTACTCACCTGTATCCAATGATCGTGTAAAACCAGCTTATGTTCTGAACGGGCATAAATCAATCGCTCCGCCGCCAACTTCACCTCACCGTTTACAGGGCATCGTGGTACATAATTTGTCAATTAACCCAAAGACTCTGCGTAGTATAATTTGAACTTGGCAAGGATACCGGTACCCTTGTGTATTTACAAGCAACGGTCAACTCTTAGGAGGCGGCGGTACCTTTATTCGCATTGGCTACATCGGTCAGACCAGCTCCATCCGCCCCAGTGTATTACAAGATACACTTCCATACGAAAGACGAGTTTGATCTATGCCTTTTGTAGTTTATTTCTGTCAACGTTCATCACGTTCGCACTGATGCCATCCGTAATCTCAATGGCAGTGCGATTGTGTACGAAAATGCAATTCTTAACGTATTTCTAGAGGAAGAAGTTACCGTGTGTTAGAGCAGAAGACCTGTATGCTATACTACAATATGTATGGATTAATTTCATCTAATGCTTGGATGTATGCTGTGTGACCAATAATAAAATATTTGTAGCACATGAGGAAAAACTGGCATTTTTCGGTTTCCTTTTTCGTGCAGCAGTTACTAGCAATACTTTAAAAAATACAGTGTTTTCAAATGAGATGAATTACACTGGGGAATAAATTTGTAACACAATTTCTGACGAGTTCGGTTTTTCAGCTGTTTTAGAATAAGCATGCTGATTTCAAAATTGTATTTAGTTTCCTCCACCTCGTCAAGCTTTTACTCGTCACCTTATATGAATGTGACCACTCTCCAAAGTTTTCAGCATGAATCACAGAAATTACTACTCCTCTCCTATTGGCTGGCATAAATCTTCCTATTGACGCTGTGCGCATTTCTATGTGAAGTCCGAGTTCTTGTTTGTATGCAAAGTTATCAGTGTTTTCTTTTTATTTATACGTGAACTGAAAGATTTCCTTAACTTTGCTTCTGCTAGTTCACATCTTAAGCTCTTATACAGCTCCGATTTGTTATGTTCGTTCCTAGTCAAAGGAAAACATCAGTATATTTGTCAGGCAAGCTTATTTTGCCTATTTTAGAGTGAAAATTGGTGACCAAAATAAATCATGGGCTCCTCACAAAACAAGCAGTGTGTCGAGAGTTTACGGATGTGGATGAAGAGAACACATTATAAACTTCGATTTGTTATATCTATGAGTCGGCAAGAGACCAAAGATTACTCAAGCGATTGTTACTTTTGTAAGTTAAAATATCAGGATATAACAAGAAAAATAAATGTAAAATAGAGTATCCTAGTTTACCAACAGGCTACGCGCGAAATGCCTCACTCAGCTGAACTCGCAGAGCCAGTTTTTAAAGAATGACCCTCTTTGGAAATACAGGAATACGATTCTGGTGAATATCAAATTGACCCCAACAACGAAGATTAAAAAATTAAGATGATTTCGATCGTAAGGGGTTTGACCAGCATGAATTGAACGATTTGGCACAAGATTTGGGACTATCCAAAAAATGCTTCAGAGCTGTTAACATCTGCACAAGAAAAACGTGTTTCAAAAAGGAGCTAAATTATACTGTTTTCGATCAAGAGAAAGTGCGTTTCTGAAACACTTTCAAAGGGACGATGAATTTGTGTATTGCCATAACGCACATGGTTTTATGAAAGAGTCTGGAATTTCAACTTATAACGCAAATCAATGGCCGATTGTTCGTCGGTAGCTCAAGGCGGAGCTCGAAGTGTAACCTCCTCCACAATGTAAATTTATTTGGTGCAGTCCCAATAGGCTATTCTGTTTAATGCTCTTTTTCCTTCTCTGCCAGCAACGCGGATATATCAAGTATGCCTGTTTTTTGTGTATGTGGGACAGCACAGCTTACGAGAAGCAATGGGTGCAGTCGAATTGGCCGCCAAGATCAAACCTGAACCTGGTAATCCAAACATTCTACATCAGCCACTTGTCGACAGAAAGAAATAATATTTCCATTTCTGCGTAAACTGGTCTCATGAAGCAATTTATTAAACATTTGCCAATTAAAGGAGATTGTTTCAAGTCTCTCATTTTGATATTTTCTAGCCTGTCATTTAAAAAGATAAAGGCCAGTGTGTTTGATGGTCAACAGATTCAGCAGCTTCTTAAAAATGAACATTTCATCGAAACAATGGGAGAACTTCAAAAGAACGTTTGGTTGGCATTCTGAAGTATTGTCAAAGACTTTCTTGGAAATGTATGAGCACAGAATTACAGCGAAATTGTCTAGCAACGTTTGGAGAGCTTCGTTGCAATATGAACATCAAATTGCATTTTTTACATAGCCATTTTGATAACTTCCTGAAAAATCTTGGTGCAGGCAGTGACAAACGGGGTGAGTGATTCCACGAAAATTTGAAGGTCATAAGGGCATGGTTCCAAGATAAATCGGATGTCTGATTTTAATCAGAATAAATATGTTCGAATAATATTATATAAAAATCTGATACGTATCCTAAGTCGCGCTTTCGAGGCATAAAAAACGCGAGTTTAATTTTGTCAGTCGGCGCTGTAGAACGGGAGATTTTTTTTTTTTTTGTGTGTGTGTGTGTGCAAAGTATACATATAATGGCTGACTGTTGTTGGAGCATCAAACGATCAACGAGAATGTCCACAGATCAAACACTCCAGAAGAAAGCTATAAGCTAAAATTTTTAGCTTAATATGCATGTTTACCAATTGGTAAAAATATTATTTGCATTAGCAAAATTTAACTTGTAACTACATATTGCCTTTTGTATGAACAAAACTATTTGTGAACAGTATATTTTTAAGTTTTCCCTTTAAATGCATATTTCATACGACTTTTGAGACAAATGGAGGGTATCCTATAGCTTAAAAAGTTGACGTGATAGAAAAATCTGAGGCTATATTTTAGTTCAGATGCCAAAAGTTAGTCAAAAATAAATGGCAGTACAATGAATGCAATGAATGACAATATAATGAAATTGCTGTTCCCCAGTGTTATTTATATTAGCCCAGCGTTCTTTATAGTAGTATGTTAAGAAAAATATTTAATGTTTAAAATTCTCTTTGTAACTTTCTTTCCAGGAATGCTGCTGAACAGAAATAATGATCAAGCCGAAAACGTGGAAAGGAAGATATTTTTTGTAGTTTGAAATTAATGCAGATCTAATAAAATGTTCCCCGATTCTTATACAGATTACTTTTATCGAATCTTAATAACTGAAAAATTAGAAGAAAAAAGATAAAATCTTTACAGTAAAATTTATATTTTGATATTATCTTTTATGAGGAATAAATTTATTAATGTGTAATATCAAAATTCGCAAAAGAGTACGCTAATACAAGTGGCTATCTTTTGCTATGAACTGCAGATTTTGGCTCGACGTTTCGTTCGAAAGTGAAAACCTGCATATTAATCCTGAGTCAAAGTGAAAGCCTGCATAATATTTAGTCAACTAAAAGGTAAATTTTATTGAGTATTAAAATTTAACAGACGGTTTTTTTCATATTTTGAGTACATTTTATAATTTTAGGGTACATTTTATTTATTGATTTCTTGAAAATACAAATGTTCATTCTGTGGTCGAGTAATTAGGATTGAATTTTTATCCCGCTTTCATTTACCTGGAGGCTAATTGCAGAGCTATTTCCATAATTTTCAAAATCACCTGATGCTTCGAAGTAAAGCTGTGCACTATTCCTGGTTTGTCTGGTATCAACATAGGACATTCAAACGAGGGGATAGTATACCTTTAACAAGCCTAAAATATTCTAAATTTGACCACTGTTCCTAATTTTTTGAAAAACATATTTTTTCAGTTATATGCATAAAATTTTCTGATTATGTACATTTATTATTGATAATATATTAAAAATAAAATGAAAAGATGTACCTAAATGATCTGAAATAAAAGGAAAGGATATTTTAATTTTTTGAAAGTTCGAAAGTTCAACTTTTTACTGAGAGCAAGGTATTTTATTTTATATTGACTATATCTATATGTTAATAAATTTAATGCTCAATTTAAGTAAAGATTTAGTTTCTAATTTTGTACTATTGTATATTATTTATTTTAAAATTTTTTATTTCTAAATATTTTAATATACAAATATAAATTAATTTTACATAACTTTTGCTTTTAAAAAGGCAATAAAATTTTTAATTTACATTTTATATCAATCTCTGTAGAACACAAGAGCAGTCATAATTGTTGTTAAGTGTGTACAAATTTACTTAAATAGTTATGGAAATATCCCACGCGCAAGTTGGAAAAAATAGCAATTTGAGATTAAATGCAAGTAAAGAATAAATTTATAAGCAAAGTACTCTAATTTAAACTTTCCTGAAAAAATACATTTTATCCATATAACTATTCACCAATATATTAAAGGATTTTGTATTGAAACATTAAAGAACTAAAAAAAATGACTTATTATGTACACTTGCGTGTCACAAATATCTTCGAAAAAAAACTAAATTCTCTAAAAAAATACAAAATTTTCAAATCGACTTAAATAAAAGAAAAAAAATCTAAGATATAATTACAGACATACCTCAGGTTAGATAACAGATATATATATAATCTAGTTGTTATGGAATATTTAAATTTATTAGGAAAAAATAAAAAACTTTAAAATTTTAAATTTCCCTGTATTTCCTTCTGTGCTTCAAATTTTATAGCATCTGCCATGGGTCTACGAGATTCTAAACTCATTGCTGAAGTACTGATTTCGGGCATCGCAGATTCCACTTTTATCAGCTTCCTTTTCCTAATTCAATTGCTCCTTGTCCTACGCTAAAGTTCATTCTCTTCATACACTCTAGTCCAGCAGTCGTCAACCCTTAGAACTTCACGGACCACTACATATATAATTTTATATTTGGCGGACCACTACTATGAATTAAAAAAAAAAAAAAAAACATTAAATCAGACTTTAAAAACAATATACGCAAACACATTATTTAACTTTCCAATACATGTAATTCTAATTTTCATTTGTTAATATAATTTTCGAAAAATTTGGTGTTCAACAGCATGCCTTTATGAAAATTCAGGCTACGCCCCTGATTATGAGTAACAATTAAAACACTATTAACATCTCACTGATACACATATTTCGTTCACATTGAAAAATTATATGAAAAGCACAAAAATCTTACCATCTTGTTCAGAATGCTTCACATTTCCATACCACTGAAAAGGAACTTTAAAAAAAGCTAGAACAAACCGGCAAACGCAAAGCAATATCAATAAACTGAAAGTATTATGCCGCCAATTTTTAATCATTCTAAACATAATAATCATCGTTTACTCAGCAATTGCCCCATCGATGAACAGTTAGACAAAACAAAAACGGAAACTTCCAGTGATGCAATTAATAAACAAGAATGTAGATGGTTCTCATAAAAATCCATCAAGTTGCCCATTGATACGAGAAAACTGTGTTATTAACCGGTCGCGGACACTTAGCCGACAATACACTTAACCGTCAGGACATTTAGCCGACAGAACATTTAGCCAGTACGGACAGTTAGCCGACAAGGACACTTAGCCGACAGAATATTTTGCCGACAGGACATTAAACCTACAATAAGTCTCGCTCTTCCTAATGCTTTCAGATTCAATACTTCTGCATTTCATTTCTACTTTCCTCAAAGTAGTTTCGCTCCTCCCACTAATGAAACTTCCTTTCCCTGTCAGTTCCACACTGGAACTACTTTTTTTTTTCTTAAATTCTTTGTTTACACCCTCAGAATGCTATACTCACGTTAGGCATCATATATTTATCAATCTGGGCATCGTATATATTATTTTCTACGTTATTTTTATATTGTCTTTGGTTTGTTTTTACAGGGTTTGCATTCTTTGTCTTATTTTGTGGTCTTCTATATTTGTTTGAACTTTGCTTTGAATTCGGTTTCATGGTGACAATTTCCGGTGTTTGATTTCTACAGATAATATGGTACTCAAATGCATAAACATGAAGGTGTCGGGGACGGGTTACTCGAGTTAAATAGGATTTCTCTACAGTGATTGATTTTTGCTCCAGATTGAATTGACTGGAATGCTTCATAGGAGTGGGTTCTTTGAGTGTCAGCGTTGGTTCACAATTCCTTCTATTCGCGGAAATATTTGGCCTGACTGGAATTGCCGGTTTGGCTTTAACTTATAACTCGAGTAAAGACGAAACACTTTCGTATTTACGTATTTTTATCAATTATTGTTCATTGAACGGGAGTTGGTTTGTTCCCCTTGAAAAGTCAACTAATTTCCGATCAATGACAATGATTACTTGTTTTAATTTTTCCTTTTGCAATTGAAATTTTGTTCTTCATGGTGATTTGGCTCCAGTCCCCGTTGGGACATTGTTGACATTTTGCTTTCAAATTGCTTCAAAACATCTTTCAAAATGTGACTTGCCAGTGTGGATTCACACTTTTAAAGTGGTTCTACTTTAATTAAACTTGGGAGATAATATGGTCAATTGATCAATACTGTTTGGGAAATAAATTTTATATTGAAAATTATACATCGCGAATTTCAAAACAGAGTACATAATTTTTACACAAATAATTAGGAAATGAGAAATTCTATGTATAATTTTAGAGTGTATTCTATGTATACGCACAATCCATCCAATTTCGGTAAATAATACTCAAAATGAATCCGCGCAATGCCAACACCATCCAAATCGTGACGTGTTAAAAAAGTAGAAATCCAAAGTAGGCGTGGTTAGAAAATAAGAGTGGAGTAGCATATCAGCAACGTTTTCGATATATGAAGAGTGAAAAACGTACCGTAATTTCCGGAAGAAAGGCCGCATCAGCGTAAACGCCGCACTCGAGAAAAATGGCGGGAAAAAAAAAGTTGGAAATTACACATTAAATGCCGCATCAGCATAAACGCCGCAATAGATATTAAATTGCAACGTGACATCGTCGTGGGCCGCATAGATGCAAAATCTCAACCGAAGTCCTAATATATGACATACCAGTTAAGAAAAATGCATGAAATGAAACCATAACTCAAAAATAAATTAAAGGTAAGAAATGTGGAAAATATATTTACCTTCACGTATATACTTATAATTACCCACTAAAGAAGTCCATATTTGTAATACTCAGACTATATTATAAAAAATGCTGCAACAACGAAATATTAAATTTGGATGACAAAAGGAAATTTTAAATTTTACTTAAGATTTTTAATTTTACTTTACTTTTCCTTTACAAAAGGAATTACAGCAAACTAGACATCATATAAAGCCATCAAAACCTGATTCTTCACTATCTGAATTAAAAAGATTTAGTATATCCTGATCTAAGTTCAAGTCTTCCAGATCATTCATCCTCTTGGTTTACAGTCTCTTTATCTAAGGATATAATTTCAGCTTCTTTGAACCCTGCTATTATTGACGATGTTTTTTTTTTACCGATTTCCACGCATTTTACCGCTTTTGGTATACGTATGCAATCCTTCACTCATCCAACACTCCCACCGCTTTCGGATTTCAGCTTTGAAGGATTTATTACCTGACAAATCTAACGGTTGTAAGATTTTTGTCAAACCACGAGGAATTATTGCTTCGGTCGTAGACAATTTTTGACATCTGGTTTTCACTGACTCAAGCAAATGAGCATGCATGGAATCCATTATCAATAACCCTTTTGGTTGGAAAAAAGATCCTATATGACACTGCCAAACTTTTTGTAAGCCACTCATGCATGATTGTTTCGCACATTCATCCATTCTCGTTTGCACAAATAATTAGGTCATTAGGAAAATCACCCTTCGGAATAGTTCTTTCTTTTAAAAATGATCACTGGCTTTAGCTTGTCACCATTTGCGGCACAAGCTAATGCATACATGTAAATGACATTCTTTCATGCCAAGCACAGATACAGTTGTTGCACCAGTTTCATTAACAGTTCTGTTTGCAGGAGAGTTGGAAGCTAATGGCATTTCATCCATATTTATTATCTGTGACCGATGAAAGTTTTTTTTGTTTGTTTGTTTTTGGGGGTGTCGATCAATATATGTCATATGTCACATATTTTAGAAAAGATGTCTTTTTATTCCTGCCAGTCCATTGGTAATTGTTGCCCGACTGTTGTTCTAGTACGCACAGAAATATTTTTTTTTTTTCATAAATCTGCTACACCTCCTTTGAAATCATTTATGTTCATTCGTT